CATGTTGGCCAGGCTGGTCTCAAACTCCTGACCTCAAGTGATCCACCTGCCTCGGCCTCCCAAAGTGCTGGGATTACAGGCATGAGCCACCACGCCAGGCTAATATTTTGTATTTTTAGTAGAGACAGGGTTTCACCATGTTGGCCAGACTGGTCTCAAACTCCCGACCTCAAGTGATCCACCCGCCTCGGCCTCCCATAGTGCTGGGATTACAGGTGTGAGCCACCGCGCCTGGCCTTGGTTGAGTTTTAGGCCCGAACATTTTTAGTTGTGGGGAAGGAGGTGGAGATGTCGTGTGCATCGTAGGATGTTGAGCAGAATTTCTGAGCTCCATCCAACTAGATGCTACTAGTTGTGACAACTAAAGATGTCTCCACACGTTGCTAAGAGTCCCCTGGACGCAGGTCACCTTGGGTGGTTGAGACTCACTGGTACAGAGTAACTGGACACAGGGTTTTCCAGATATTGGTGAGGGACACTCTGCTTAGGTGGGGACTACAGGTCTCTCCCACTCTGTCCTCCAGGGCAAGGAAGTGGAGCAACAGTCAGCCTGCAGATTTGGCACATATGGGACAGTCAAGAGACGACCCCACTGGGATAGGTGAGTGTCTACCAGAACGGGCTGTGGTTCAGGGATTGGCTTTGCAACTCACCACCTAAGAGATCTTAGTCAGGTGCAGGAACCTGTTGGAGCCTCAATTTCTTGCTTTAGAAAATGATGACAATCGCGATGACTTGAAACACTCAGGGACTTTGTGGGTGCTTAAAATGTGTGTTTACAAGGCTGAGCGCAGTGGCTCATGCCTGTAATCCCAGCACTTTGGGAGGCCAAGGCTGGTGGATCATTTGAGGTCAGGAGTTCGAGACCGGCCTGGCCAACATGGTGAAACCCCGTTGAAAATAAAACACAGTAAGGGAAGGCCAGGCACAGTGGCTCAGGCCTGTAATCCCCAGCACTTTGGGAGGCCGAGGCGGGCGGATCACGAGGTCGAGATCAAGACTATCCTGGTCAACATGGTGAAACCCCATCTCTACTAAAAATACAAAAATTAGCTGAGTGTGGTGGTGCCTGTAGTCCCAGCTACTCAGGAGGCTGAAGCAGGAGAATCACTTCAACCTGGGAGGCAGAGGTTGCAATAAGCTGAGATGGCGCCACTGCACTCCAGCCTGGTGACAGAGTGAGACTCCGTCAAGAAAGAAAAGAAAGGAAGGAAGGAATGAAGGGAGGGAGGGAGGGAAGGAGGGACAGATGAGTGTAGCTGAAGCAGAGGGAATGAGGGGAGAGTCAGAGAGAGAGACCCTGGGACTCAGATTGTGAGGATTTTTCAGCTACAGTGAGCACTTTGGACCTTAATTAACTCAGAGTGAGCCAGGCACTGTTGGATGGTTTCAAGTTCCTAGAAAAGAGCCTATTCAAAGGCATGGTAAATACAGTCTCCCAAAAGTCTTAGTACAGTTTTAAGTACTAATAGTCCAGGAGGTCAACATGCCACCAACTTACAAATGACATCATTTAAAAGTTTAGGATGAGGGGAGGGGACTGAGAGGAGGGATCCAGTAGGTGCAGCAAAAACCACCACGGCACACGGATGCTCGCGTAACCAACCTGCGCATTCTGCACGTGTATCCTGGTTTTTTTTTGTTGCTTTTTTGTTTGTTTGTTTGTTTAGAAGAAATAAAAAAGAAAAAAAAGAAAAAGAAAGTTTAATAAGCTTGGTTTCTTTGATACTTATCTGAGTGTCATACCATACATGGTTTGGTTGTGAATTTTTTATACTTTCTGCCTCTCTATAGATATCTGTATTAATTATATATATTTATATAGATATATCTATGGAGAGATATAATATATATATTATCATTAAAAAAGTAAAATATCTATCATATATAAATGTAATTATATATAATATATAGGGCAACATTATATATTTAATGTTAATTTTAAGATATACTTAATTTAAGTATGTATTATATATTTATATAATATATAGATATCTATCTGTATAGATATGACATAGAGAGATATATCTATACTTAATTATAGATACATAGATATCTTTTTTTTTTTTTCGAGATAGGGTCTCACTCTGTCATCCAAGCTGGAGTGCAGTGGTGCAGTCATACCTCACTGCAGCCTCTGGCTCAAGTGATCCTCCCACCTCAGCCTCCCAAGTAGCTGGGACCACAGGTGCATGCCATTATACCAGCTAATTTTCTAACTTTTTGTAGAGACAAGATCTTGTTATGTTGCCCAGACTGGTCTGGAATCCCTAGCCTCAAGCGATCCTCTCACCTTGACTCCTCCCAAAATGCTGAGATTACAGGCATCAACCTTCACCTTCATCCTTTTTTTTGAAAAAAAATTTTAATTTCGTGGGGTCACTGCTTACCACCTTTCAGTCAGAGGGGCAAAAACAAAGAATTCAAATTTAAAATGTAGTATTCAGAATTCATAGGGTCAGGCAAGGTGGCTCATGCCTGTGATCCCAGCACTTTGGGAGGCCAAGGAGGGAGGCTTGCTTGAGACTAGGAATTCCACACCAGTCCACCAGTCTGGGCAACACAGTGAGATCCCATCTCTATAAAATAAAATAAAAAATTTTTAAAAAGAATTTACAGAACGATAGAGATGCCAAAGTTTTCCAACCATGTGTAAGCATGTTAGCATTTCTACTGTTGAGGTTGTTGAAATTCAAAACTGCCCCTGGATAGGTTGGGATACCCCATTATTGGAATGAGTGGATGGATCAGGTGGGTAGTAGCCCATGAAGCTCTCACCCCCGGCCATTCAGCAATCTTCTCTGTGTATTCCCATTGACCCCTCTTGTATGATCTCCAGAAGCCTTCGCCATGCCCGTATCTGCCTTGCCCCGAACGGGCAGTGACCCCGTGTTGCTGAAGGCCCCTGCTCCCCTGGGAACTGTTGCCAACAGTCTCAGAGCCTCCGATGGGCAGCTTCAAGCCAAGGCACCAGCGAAGCCTCCCCGGACACCCTCCTTCGAACTTCCTGATGCCTCTGAACGTCCCCCAATGTACTGCGAGCTGGTGCCCCGAGTATCCTGTGTCCAGGGAACATCCCTGAGCCAAAGCTGCCCAGAGCCAGAGGCCCCATGGTGGGAGGCTGAGGAGGATGAGGAGGAAGAAAACAGATGTTTTACAAGACCACAGGCTGAGATCTCTTTCTGCCCCCCTGATACCCCCTCCTGCCTCCTGGGCCCCCAGAATCGGCCCCTGGAACCCCAAGTCCTGCATACTCTCCGTGGCCTGTTCCTGGAACACCATCCTGGGAGCACTGCCCTTCACCTGCTATTGGTAGACTGCCAGGTGGGTCACCTGCTGAGATGCTCCTCCCCAGGCCCAGGGCAAGACCCCACCATACCTACATAATCACACTTCACCTGACTTCCCCATTCCCTTCCGCAGGCCACAGGCCTCCTGGGAGTGACCAGGGATCAGCGGGACAACATGGGGGTCTCATCTGGCCTGGAGCTGCTCACTCTTCCCCATGGATGTCGCTTGAGGTTGGAACTGCTGGAGAGGTGAGCCAGCCGCTTGGAATCTTGGCTGGGGAAGGCCAATTCCCCCCGACTTCCGAAAGTCTCCAAACAGCTCCCCACTCATGGTTCCCCAGGGAAGAAGGGAGATGGGGCAATGCCACATCCTGTCCCCCCTCACCCCTGCATTACAAACCTCCCCACTTCCCCCAGACCCTTGCCCTCCGCTTCTGCAGGCATGAGACACTGGCGCTGGCCGGGGCACTGGCAGTGCTGGGCTGCTCGGGGCCGCTGGAGGAGCGCGCAGCCGCACTGAGGGGCCTGGTAGAGCTGGCGCTGGCGCTGCGGCCAGGGGCAGCGGGGGACCTGCCCGGGCTGGCTGCGGTCATGGGCGCCCTGCTCATGCCCCAGGTTCGTGGGGAGCAGGGAGTGGAGGAAGCTGGAGTGCGGGTGACTGGGAAGACAGGAGAGGAGGCATGCGCAGGTCTCTTCTCCCAGGTGTCCCGGTTGGAGCACACGTGGCGCCAGCTCCGAAGGAGCCACACGGAGGCTGCGCTGGCCTTTGAACAGGAGCTGAAGCCGCTGATGCGGGCTCTGGATGAGGGCGCTGGTGAGTGAAGGTCTGGGGCTTGGCATCCTCCGGGGGCCCAGACCAAATTTAACAGAAATCTTAATCTAGTCCTATGCTCTGTTCCTACATCAGTTCTAGGCCCTGCCCTCCACACGGGACTTGTTCCTAGGGCCACGCCCCCTTACCAGCCTTGATCCCAGCCCCTTTCCCTAGGCCCCGCCCCTTCGCCATAGACCCCGCCCCCCATATGGGGCTTGTGCTCCTGGCCCCTGTCCACAGACCCCGCTGTCGCTCAATCCTAAGCCCCGCCCTTGCATCTGTCCTAGGTTCCACCTCTGCCCCATGCCCTATCTACAGCCCCAAACCCAGATCAGACCCTCTCCTTCCGCAGGACCCTGCGACCCCGGCGAGGTGGCGCTGCCGCACGTGGCACCCATGGTGCGCCTGCTGGAGGGCGAGGAAGTCGCGGGGCCGCTGGATGAGAGCTGCGAGCGGCTGCTGCGCACCCTGCACGGGGCGCGTCACATGGCCCGGGACGCACCCAAATTCCGCAAGGTGGCAGCCCAGCGCCTGCGAGGTGAGCGTTCCCTCTGCTCTGTACTGCAGACTTCAGATCCGGCAAGCTCTGGCCGGACCCCCAAACCCAACCTGTCCCAGGAAGGGAGCCTCTCGCCACGCCTCCCGGAGCCCCACCCAAACTGGGACGTCTCCACTCCAGGAAGGTTCTCGCCCCAATCAAACGCTGCTTCCAGCGGTATTGATAGGAACAGGGCCGCCCACCTCAAAACGGGCTGTCCTGCCCCCAGAGCCACCTCCGTGGGTCCCCACTCCCCCTTCCCACCTAGAACGATCCCGCACCCCAGGGATCTCGATCTCGAGGAACGCCCTGCTCCCTCCAAACGATTCCTCCCTCCTATCCTAGGGCAGCCCAGCCGACAAGATCCCCCACCTTCCCCGACAACCTGGGATCCCGCCACCGGTGCGGCCCCACGTCCAGGCACAGCCCCTAAGGCGGGACCCCCAGGATCTGGCACCTGGAACAGGCCACCCCCTTGCACTCTAGTAGAGCCCCTCAGGCACCCCACCCCCATTCCTGCAGAGGGCTGGAAGCCCCCTCCCCTCTGACCCCGCCTAGTCATCCCGCAGGTGGGGCAAGTCCCTCCCGGGCCGCTGTTGGGTCAAAGTCCTCAGGGGAAAGGCAGGTGCGGGAGGTTGGGAGGGGCGAGGCGGGCGCCTGGGCCCCGCCCCCAGCCCACCTGACCTTGTTTCCAGGATTCCGGCCTAACCCAGAGCTGAGGGAGGCCCTGACCACCGGCTTCCTGCGGAGGCTGCTCTGGGGTAGCCGGGGCGCGGGAGCTCCGCGCGCTGAACGCTTTGAGAAGTTCCAGCGCGTCCTCGGCGTCCTGTCACAGCGCCTGGAGCCTGACAGCTGAGAGCGCAGACCCCTTTCTTCACACCCGGGACCCCCAGGTTTTTGAAGACCCCGGAAGAGACCAAAGGAGTCGTCCCAGGCTCCTCACGTCCTCAGGCGGAAACCTGCCCTGTGCCTCACAGCAGAGGTGGGGAGGGCAGTCAGGGTCATCCGGGGCATGGTGAACATGTGACCTGCAGATCTGGCATCAGAGGCCAGAGTTCAAATGTGACTCCGCTTCTTAAAAGCTGTGATTTCTAGCAGATCACTTCACCTCTCTGTGTCTGCCTTTAACAAAATCATGGCTGTGCAGCAGCTCAGGCCTGTAATCTCAGCACTTGGGGAGGCCGAGGCGGAAGGAAGGCTTGAGGCCAGGAGTTCAAGACCAGCCAGGGCAACATGGTGAGACCTCATCTCTACAAAAACTGAAAAATAAAAAACTTTTACAAAATGTAAATGTGTACTTTCTAAGAATTGTGGCTGGGAATGAGACCGCAGGTGGAGAATGCCTGGCACACAGTAGATCCTCAATAAATGCTACCCATTCTCAGAAGCTGCACTGCATTCAGAAGGGATGAAACTTGGTGTCCCGGCCGGGCGCGGTAGCTCACACCCATAATCCCAGCACTTTGGGAGGCCCAGGTGGATGGATCACTTGAGGTCAGGAGTTCGAGACCAGCCTGGCCAACATGGCAAAACCCTGCCTCTACAGAAAATACAAAAAATTAGCTGGGCGTGATGGTGTGCACCTGTAATCCCAGCTACTTGGGAGGTTGAGGCAGAATTGCTTGAACCCGGGAGGTGGAGTCTGCAGTGAGCTGAGATTACGCCACTGCACTCCAGCCTGGGCAACTGCTTAAGGCTGTCTCAAAAAGAAAAAAGAAAAAGAAAAGGAAACTTGGTATCCTTCTCCCTACCTGAGTCACAAGCAGACACCCACTGACAATGATATAGGCCAACTTCCAGAAGGAGGCAGGGTTGACCCAAGGTGTGCCCAAGGTCACCTTCCCTTCCTTGTTCCCTGTGTGGCCTGTAAGAAACGTGGTGTTAGATCCTTCCAGTCCCAGTATCTAAATCCTCTAATAAGGCACCGACTCCAGGAACTTTATGTAATTTT